TTTTACAGTGGAAAACCTCAATTAATGAAATGAAAAACAAGGGCGGATGACTAGCTAAAACATACCAATACTCAACGCATAGATTGGAGAAAAAAATACTCTGAGCACAGAAACTGGTACTTTAAGTGACTCTCAGTTGATTAAGGAAGTACAGACCTTTAAATATGCAGGCACCAAGTTAAAAAGTGAACATCTGCCTCATGGGTGCTCCAGAACAAACGAGAAAGATCAAAAAATACCTACTCAAAGAATTTCACAGCACAGGAGAAACACACACATACAGATCCAGGATACTCACAAGAACATAACAGATTTCCCCAAAAAAGCATTCTGGGTCACCTTCCAGGCCAACGGGCAAAGCTCCAACACAAAGAGAATTCTAGTACATCAAGAGAAAAGCCTAATGTCCTATATAAAAGCATACTCACTAAGACTGGAGAGCTGGCTCAGCAGTTAAGAGTACTGGTTGTTCTTGCAGAGGACCTAAGTTCAGTTCCCAGCACCGACATGGCAGCTAACAACCATCTCTAATCCAGGTCTAGGCAATCTGATGTCCTCTAATGGCCTCTGTGGGCATTGCATGCACAGGTTCACTTACATACACACAAGCAAAATGCTCATACACATCAAATAAAAATATGTAAATTAAAAAAAAAGAACATCCACTAGAGGTACAACCATGTTCTCCGCAGTCACGATCCACCATCGGTGTTAACAATGATTTCAAAACCACACAAGGACACAGCAACCAAACTACAGATGCAGTATCGCTGTTAAATAGTGATTTCCCTTCAAGGAGTTGGGACACCAACAAAACACAGGAGGTAAACTTCATATGTTTGTGAAAGCTCAAAATTACAACATTCACCAGGGCACCCACCCAAGGTTATAGAAACAGTAAAATGAGACCCTGACCAGTCAAGAGATTCTCCAAACCTGTACACCTGCTGCAAGTCATGAAGAAAGCTCCAGGGTTGCAGCTTTGGTGAATCATCATCCATGTTGGGGAGGGTTTTTCAGTGATGCAGCTGCTTCTGAGTGATCCCTGCTCCTGAGCATACTCCTGTAACCCCTATACACTCATTGAGTCACTAAGTTGGACATTGCTGTAATCATTACTTTGGTCTCCTGTGGGTTCTGTATCTGGGGTGAGCAGACATGCTGCTGTCATGTCTTCATAGGAAAAGTCTCATACAACACACTTGGCACTTGTGAATGAGGCTGCATCCATCCGAGGGTGTAGCTCGTCAGGGGTGAGAGACTGCTGATGTTTACCTTTTCCCCCATGGTACAGGGTACAGTGCTTGCTTATTATGGCAGTGGTCCAAAGGCCTTGCTTTGGGTGATGAGACATATAAGTAAGGCTGAATCCTCTACCAAGGGAGAAAGTCTGGGTGGCAGTCCATAGGGGAAGTCATAGTAGCAGTGTCTTCCTGTACGTGCTATAAAATGGAATACGTGCTTGATGAAATGAGGTTCCACTGCTGACAGGCTTACCAGTTACTTCATCCTGATCATCACATACAAGTGTACTGCAAAGCCACATTGCTCTCTATAAATGTGTGTTATTATCGTGTGTCAATGAAAATGGGCCATAAATAGTATTAAAAATGAGAAACAGCCAGGTGTGGTGGCACATGCCTTTAATCCCAGCACTCAGGAGGCAGAGGCAGGCAGCTCTCTGTGAGTTTAGGGCCAACCTGGTCTACATCATGAGGTCCAGGCCAGCTGGGGCTACAGGGAGACCAAGAGAGAAACAGAAGCTGAAAAGATGGCTCAGCAATTAAGAGTGGTTTACTGCTTTAGCAAAGAACCAGAGTTCAGTTCCCAGCACCCACATTGGGCAGTTCATAACTGCCTGTAACTCCCACTCCAGCAGATCTAATACATTTGACCTCCACCAGCAACTGTTCACATAACACACACACACACACACACACACACACACACACAATTAAAAATAAATTTGCCAGACATGGCAGTGCATGCCTTTAATCCCAGCACTCCAAGGGAGAGGTAGGCAACCTCTCTGAGTCCAAGGCCAGACTGGTCTACACAGGGAGTTTCAGGTCAGTCAGGACTACACAGTGAGACCCTAACTCAAAATAAATAAATAAATAAATACCTCTAAAAAATGTTTTTAGGCCAGGCGTGGTGGTACATGCCTTTAATCCCAGCACTCAGGAGGCAGAGGCAAGCAGTTCTCTGTGAGTTTAAGGCCAGCCTCATCTACATAGTAAGTTCCAGGCCAGCTGGGTCTCTTTTTGAGACCCTGCCTCAAAAGGACCAAAAAAAAAAAAAAAAAAAAAAAAAAAAAAAAAAGTTTTTAAGTCAAGAACAATTCCTATACTCATTAACCAAAAAGAATATAACTGATCCTGAAAGTTAAAGAAGACATAGACTCACCCAAGAAGAGCAGGCTGCTATAGTTCTCCAGCATCACATCTCTGTAGAGGGTCCTCTGTTCAGTGTCCAGATCCTGCCACTCATCCCAGGTGAAGTCCACAGCTACATCCTCAAATGATACAGAGTCCTGTAATGACACCATTCTCTTCAACAAAGGTCCTCACCATTGGGGAAAAAAAAATGAGAGCGCACTCTGCCTGTGTAGGTATCCAACCAGTGTCTTACAGAGTATGCTGCTTGATTTGTACCAGAAGAGAAAAACAAAAATAAATATCTTACCAGCGTTAATGTGGAAATTCAAGAGAGTATGATTTAAGAGTTTTCTAAGGAATTGCAAGACAAACAAAATCTGCTGACAAAGTTCAACTCACTGAAATCTCCAGGTCCAAGTCTGCCAAAGCACTGAGTGTCTCAGCTCTGACATAGTCAAATTTGCGGGAATATAGGCTAAACCCCCAAGCTCTAAAAATAAAGAGATCTGGCCACATGCAATCCTCCTGGATCTCAGGAAAGCAAAGGGTTCTAAATGCGCATTAACCATTTACATGGGGTAAAATGCACAGAAGCAAAGCAGAAAAGGGAAAGGAAAAAGAGCCCTGTCTGATTTGATGGTCTATGTTCTAACACATTTGTACCCGAGTCCAAACTCAAACAGCAGACTTTCTGCTGTCTTAGCACAGCTGTGAGAATGGATATGCTTTAAAAAAAAGCAAGCAGAAGAGATTACAAGTTTGAGAGGACCAGGGTATGTCCAAAGAAGAACTGTTAACATTTTGCTGCTAGGAAGTAAAATTCGGTTAATACCCATAGATTAGCACACATTTATAGAAAGCAGTGTGGCTTTGCAGTACACTTTTGTGTAATGATCACAGATCATCTCAGTCTTAGAGAAACTTCTGTTTGTAGAGGGTGACAATATAGATTCATAGATGGTCAAAACACTGAAAATAAGTGAATGTTAAGGGCTTAGCTTTAAATGAGACATCTATATCACCAGCTCAAAGGCTCAGGGACCAGCACATAGAGGGAGTGAAAAGAATGTAAGTCAGAGGATGGATGGGAAGGACAGCTGTGACGTGCTTTCTTTTGTAAATGGCATGGCTATGTACCCAAGAACCCACAGCAACAGTGGCTACCTACATAAGACCTCAACAAACTGGGCTCATCAATAGAACATCGTCAGTGGGTGGGCTGCTAAGGCCCACCGCTCCCTGAGGAACTACTGGCAGTTAATGCTTGTTAATGCTTGCTGGGGAAGGGCACTCAAGCTCGTCAGTGGTGTAGCAACTGGAAATTTTCCCTCACCCAAGTAAAGAGCCCCTTCATGTAGACAACCTGAAATAAATGCCAAGCCAGGGAGTATATCTTGAATTTGTATTTTAGTTAGGCAAAGTTGTTCTCTACCAAGAACTGAGATGGTGCAGTGGGCACAATTTCCTCACAGCATAGAAAATCTAGCCTCACACTAGCAATCTTCCCAACTCATCCTCTCAAGTGCTGGGGTGTCAGGCATGAGGCATCCTGTCCTCATCTTCCTCTCTCTCCCTCACCCCCACGATGTCCTTTGTAGCTTAGGTTGACATCAAAGTTACAATCCTGCTTCAGCTCCCAAGAGGTAGGACTGCAAGTTTTTCCCTATCCCCAACCCAGAATCTCTCTGAGCCTATATACAAAGGGAGTTTGAGGGTTCAGAAAGGGTCTTGCCAACTATTCCTTTCTGCCCTCAAAGCAATATTCCTGCCTCAGACTCCTGAAGGCTGGGATGATAGATGGTACCACACTGTACAGCCAGAGTCATTTTACTTGTCCCTTGTCCCTCCTCTCTGACTGGATGAAGGTGGGCAGTGGGCTTCCCTTCCCCATGTCCTAGGAACAAGTACGTTTATGGGAATCACACCATGCTCCCTAGACTGAGATCTCCTTGTATGAGTACATAAGCCTTCCTGTGAGACTGCTAGGCAGATCCTTGCTCACCAACACCCTAGGTGCACCATGACAGCACCTAGCTATTGGGTTCTTAGGTGGGGGAATGTGCCAGGATCCCCTAGGGCTTTTCATGCCAGCCCTTACCAGGACCTACTCAGGACAGATTAACCCCACCTTCCAGACAAGGTCAGAGGAAGGGCAGGGTACTGGAGAATCCATACACACCCAGATCCCAACACAGCAGGAACCAGACCTAGCTCCATGGGGTATAAGAGCCCTGATTTTTGCAAGGAGGATGAGATGCTATGTGGATGCTCTGCTCTGTCAGACAACTATACCAGAGGCTTTATCACTGACTCTCTAAACCTCCCTGGCAAGCACATTTTAATTTTCATTGTCAATATGTGATGACCCACAAAGGAATCAAGGACTCATGGAACAGATGAATAGGAGGTAAAGCCCAATCGAGCATTTCTGTGGCACTAGGACAAACACTGATGAAGTGCAGGACCTGGGGAAAAACAGGGCGCAGGACTTGGTGAAGGGACATCATTAACATTTTCACACAAGATTCACAGGTGGAAGCAGTTTAGGCCGTCCTGTCTCTACCTACCTTGACCATAGTCTGAGGCTGGGCACTGGGCTATGTCCAGCTGAGAAGCAAAGGAATGCACTGAAGGAGTGGTAATGAGTTGGGGAGGAACAGAGCACTGTCATGTCACTGTCATGGATCTGCATGTCTAGAAATGGGGCACAAGTCCTTCCTTGAAAGAAATGAGAGACATGCTCAGTGCCAGCCATTCCCATACACTCTATTAATAATTATTCATTTCAAACTGATGTCCTCTAGGCAGGCCTTTAATTCTAGCACTTGGGAGGTAGGGGCAGGCGGAGCTCTGTGAGTTTGAGGCCAGCCTAGTCTACATAGCAAGTTCTAGGCCAGCTGGGGCTACAGGGTTACCCTGTCTCAAAAAGACAAAAAAAAAAAAAAAGTCCTCTCCTCCACGAGAAAATTTTTTGGAGAACTTTCATGTTTGGTTTGGTTTGGTTTGGTTTTCTGTTTTTGTCATTGGGGGAGGGGAGAGATTGTTTGGGGAGGGTTGTTTGTTTTTAAGGCTTTGAAGTCTGTATGTGGACCACGTTGGCCTCCAACTCAAAATAGATCTATCAGTCTCAGCCTCCCCAGTGCTAGGATTAAAGAGGAGCACGACTACCCCTGGCAATGCTTTTTAAAAATAACGTGTGTGTGTGTGTGTGTGTGTGTGTGTATGTGTGTATGTGTGTATTTGTGGGTATATGGATGGTATCACAGCACCCATGTGGAAGTCAAGATCTGGAATTCAAATTCAAACAATTTTTGTTTTTCTTTGAAGACAGAGTTACAGCTATGTAGCCCAGGATGTCCTGGAACACTCAATCCTCCTGCATCCTCCAGAGTGCCCGAATTCCAGGCATGCACACCCATGCCCAGCCCAATCAGTTTCATAGTGTCCCATTTACAAAGGACCCTAAGGACCCACACTTCACAACCTGATTGCCTATTATCCCCTCCCTGATAACAGGCAATAAACAGTGTGTCTTTCTGTCACACATCCTACTTTTTGAAACCCACAGCCATTCACTGAGGGAAGATGCTAACCCAAGCACAGGCCTGTCATGCCCTGCCTGCCTGACCAAGCCAAGCTGAAAAAGGTATTGCCTGGCTCATGAAACTCAGTATACAAATACCACATGTGTGGGAAAGCTGAAACCAGCAGGATTCCGGAAGGCCTTTCCCCAGCTTTATACAAGCAGTAAACAAATGCTGGGGGAGGAGCCTCTGAGCAGCAGGGCAGCCAAGAAAAGACTTCAGTGCAGAGCACCAGGGTTTCACCTGTACTGGGGTGGGTTTCTCAGTGATTCAGCTACTTAAGACTCATTCCTGCTCCTCACCCATTCTCCTGCTAGTAACCCTACCCCTACCCCCCGCAAAAAAAATCATTGGTTCACCAAGTTGAACTTTGGTGAAATCATTACTTTGGTCTTAGTGGTTTCTCTTTCTGGAGTGGACCTGTGTTTTATCTCCCTAGGAAAAGTCTCTCACACAAAAGACGGGAAGAAAATGTCAGTTCCCCAGGTTGATGAGAGAGCAAGCCTGGTGTCACAATGCTTTCACTGAGCTCCTACGTGCAGACCAAGTGCAAGGAGAAAGGAGGAACATTAATCCTCAGTCGTACCCTAGATATGCTGATTCTGCTCCATAACAGGGATATAGGCACATGCCAAAGCACCAGGCCAGAAGCCTAAGATCTAGACCTTTACCCAAGAAGCTGACCTGCATTCACACCTGTGGGGTAAGGCAGCTTCCAGGGAACAGAACCAATCTGGGACCCATGGCGGACATTCAGCTTTGAATTCAGATATCTGAATTCGGCTGTCTGACCTTGGGCAAGCCCCTCTCCATCTGGGCTCCACATCTCTCTTTTCTGTTTGTAGACTCCACTGGCTCCTGGACTGCTTGTTCTGTGCCTGGAGTCTAACTTCTTTCCTTCCTACTCCAATAGGAGGTGGTCTCACCCATTCACCCCTCCCTGTTCCTGGGGGGCAGCACAGTCAAACTGCAGAGGGCAAGCTGTGCTGTCAGATTTCTGCAGATGTCCTACACATGATTTTCACCCCATACCTCAGTTTACCCATCCACCCATTTCCTGCAGGAAAGAGACATTGAGAATTAGGAGTTTCTCCATAACTCATTGTAATCCAATCAAGCTCCTGGTTGGAAAGAGGATACTGAAGCCACAGACACCTAATGTAAAATCTGTCTCCTAGTTCCTTGAGCAGGACCTAGAGCTGGAACATCACATGTGAATTTTAGTTGAATTTTCCTCACAAGATGAGGAACTTCGGGGCCCAATTCTTAGGGGAAGCCTGGCCCAGGGTGAATGGGCTCATTCTATGTCATCTACCTGTGTGCTTAAAAAGGCAAAAAGATGGCTGAGTTTGAGACTGGAACTGACAGGATAGAAGAAAACAGAACATTCCAGCATTTGGGAAGCAGAAACAGGCAGATCTCTGTGAGTTCAAGACCAGCCTGGTCTACATAGCACGATCCAGGCCACCTGGGACTACAGGGAGACCCTGTCTCAATAAGAACAAAGAAAAAGAGAACAGAATGAGCTTCAAGCTGTTTGTGTACTGTGGTACTCAGACACATACAATCTCTCTCTCTCTCTCTCTCTCTCTCTCTCACAC